AAAAAAAAAATGTTTAAAAAATTAAAAACAAAAGAACTTTTAAAGAAATTCTGGCTCTTTCAACATAAAAATACTAGTGGTGACACTAAGTGATACATCTTCACTGTCACAGAAATAATAAAGTATATCTGTGCTTGAAAGTTAGGATTTCATGATATGTAAAGATGTTGCCTTGATAACTTAGTACCCAAAAATGAACAAGTTAATATCCTCAGTGACTTCAACTTATTTATTTACAAATTAATATAGCAGCCCTAATTTATCTCATGTATTTGCTAAGGTAAATGAGTAAATATAAAACTAACAAATAAGGGGTGCCTGAGTAGCTCAGTCGGTTAAGCATCTGACTTCAGCTCAGGTCATCTCACAGTTTGTGGGTTTGAGCTCTGCATGGGACTCTGCACTGACAGCTCAGAGCCTGCAGCCTGCTTCAGATTCTGTGTCTCCCTCTCTTTCTTCCCCTCCCCTGCTCCTGCTCTGTCTCTCTCTCTCTCTCAAAAATAAATAAACATTAAAAAAAAAAAACTTAAGTTAAGACTATATGTAAAATTTAGGGTCTATCTTAAAAAATACCAACATGTTGCGGGACCTGGCTGGCTCAGTTGGTGGAGCATGTGACTCAATCTCAGGATTGTGGGTTACAGCCCCATGTTGGGTATAGAGATTACTTAAAAATAAAATCTTTTTAAAAAATACCAACATTTCGGGGCGCCTGGGTGGCTTGATCGGTTAAGCATCCGACTTTGGCTCAGGTCATGATCTCACGGTCCGTGAGTTCGAGCCCCGCGTCAGGCTTTGTGCTGACAGCTCAGAGCCTGGAGCCTGTTTCCGATTCTGTGTCTCCCTCTCTCTCTGCCTTCCCCTGTTCATGCTCTGTCTCTCTCTGCCTCAAAAATAAATAAACGTTAAAAAAAAAATAAAAATAAAATAAAACCAACATTTCAAAGTGAGAAAATCAGCCTGAATAGCCTGCATCAGCTTTTTAAAGAATTCATGGGCTGTGCTCACTTCAGCAGTACATATACTAAAATTGAAATGATACAGAGATTAGCATGGTCCCTGAACAAGGATGACAGGCAAATTCGTGAAGCATTCCATATTAAAAAAAAAAAGAAGAAGAAAGAAAGAAAGAAAAAGGAAAAAAAAAATCATGTGCTACATTCTTGACCCTGAAACAACTTTTTTTTTAATTTAATTTATTTTTTAAATTTATACCCAAGTTAGCTAGTTAGCATATAGTGCCACAACGATTTCAGGAGTAGATTCCTTAATGGCCCTTACCCATTTAGCCCATCCCCTCCCCCACAACCCCTCCAGTAACCC